CCATACAAGAACTCATCAGGGTGATCGGACGACAGTTTGACCTGTTCATATAAAACCATCATACTCACTCTGCAAACTTTCTCAAGTCCTGACCAAAATGGTTTTATTAAAGTTGAAAAATGGTTTTACTAAAGTTGAAAGCGAAAGCAAAGATTATTAAAGCAGCAACCTCCTAAAATTGATTTAGATAGTATGTTCTTAGTGACTCATCATTAGCATACTTGGCTGCTACACCACCAAGGGCACAAACACCGCCTCGTCCACCTAAAAACGTTACATTCCTGTATCATCAGATTCATCACAATACCCCTTAGTTGAGTAGCTTGCTCTATTCCAATTGTTCTAAAGTACAAAAGAATAATTGCACCTGGCTCAATACAACATGATCCAATTGAATAACATAACAATGGGGGCAGACAAAACAAAGTACCTGGAATAGCAGAACAACCCAATAACCAGAGCAAAAGGGAAAAGGGGTTTCATTATGGTTTCCTTAAGATCCTATGCACCGCGTTGGAAGCGTTGGGAGAGGGAGGAGTAAGGCATGGACATAAGGTTGACCAGCCGAGCTTCCGAAACGTAGTCTGACATAATTTTGGGGAAGAATCGATCCGTCATCTTTCCTCTGATGCTGCGTTACGGCGTACGATTGATTTCCTCCTTTGTCTCAACAGGTGAGGGGTAACACCATTAATCTCGATCGAGGTTTGAACGAGAGTGAGAAAATGGAAATTGGGGAAGAAGGTCGGAAGGGATGAATGGGAGTCATTTTTTGCATTCTTTCACGTCGAGGAAACTGGCGCCAAACGTGGCAGCTGTCCCTTACGTTTTCTATAAAAATGAGTTAAGATCAAAGCTTAAACCCGGTTTAGCTACAATCGTGTCGGGTTGGGTAATTTAATTTCAGATTAAGAATCTCAGGTTATGGGTCATCACGGGTCGGTTCATATTGGGTTGGCTGATTTCAGGTCAAATATTGGCCCAACTCATCGGGTCTCGGGTCATTTCGAATTATGAGCGTTTTCAAAAGCAATAAATTTTTAAAGAACACAAATTTTAACATGCGTAGGACAATAGTTAACCTAGCTCATATCAATGAATAAACGCGCAAATCCTTTCATGCTAATCAACAAAAACATAAATTACGTAAAAAACAATAACGAAAGTAATATTACTACAAGAAACAAAGGATGTTTGATAATCCTTACACTCCAAACCTATCTTTCAAACCCTTATGAATTTTTTTCAACATCTCACCAATATATAAGTGATTTTTCATTTTGAGAGTGAAATATGAAATAGAACGGGTCGAGCAGGTCGGCTCGCTAAACCACCCAACCCGACCCAAAAAACTACGGGTTAATCAGGTTTGGGTCATTTGGGTTTCGCGTTATTAAAACTTCAACACATTTGTTATTTTTTAGGCAGATTCGGGTCAGGTCAACTGGTCGATTTAGTTCGAATATGTACAAAAGCTAAAGTTTTGTACATACACATATAAATTATATCAAATACTAATTACTAATTAGTATTGTTTTCTATTTAATGACATAGAGAATAGAGTAGTTAAGATTAAATGGGGATAAAATATTTCCGGTATCACTTAAGTCAGAAAACTGGGGGAGTGATACCATTTATATTTGGATAGGGCATCAGATACAATTATTGTTCTTAAATTTAGTGTTCCTCCATTTTTCTATCCTATTGACTAACATAATAAAAAATATTTTTTTTTGACACATTGATGTTGACCATGGGTCTCATATGTACTGAGTCACTTTTGGAGGGAAAATTGGCGTCAAATTCACCATCTCCCTCTTGACACCATAAAACAAACTCACCTCTAATCTTCTCATTCTCCCCTGAAACTCTCAATGCCGCAACAACTTCTTCTCTCTTAATATTTTGATCTTTTCATTTGCTTCACCTTTGCCATTTTATTTTGATACTCGTGTCCTCATTATTATATAGAAATATGGCAACCCCAATCTGAGGTTTCAATTTTATGAGTGCATCAATTTATGGGGTAAGTGTATTTTGATGTAATGATTTTGGCTAATAATTGAAACAAATAAAACTTATCATAACTAAATTTTGTTTGTTTGTTTCCAAAACTAATAAACTTCAAGTGTATGTAACTTTTCCTATTGGGTGGATCTGATTCTAGATGAACCCATGAAGCATGTTATTCGTGATTTACAAAGGCGGGAACATGGCATTAGAGAGGAGGAACGATAAACCATGTTTGTGTTGGAAGCATTAAATTCATATGAATAATGTTGGGAGTTATTTTTATTTCTTACATACCCGGGATGGTTTGGTTACCAATCCGTCCAATCACAGGGATCGTTGAAGCTCCAGGAACCAAACACTTGTTGCATAACGTACGGGAAACGTCCCACGATAGATAGGGCGCACAAGAACATGTCCCAAATCCTCAAGCTAAACTCACAGCTTCTAAAGAGATGTGAACCTGTCTCAAATTCAGATTCACACAACACGCATCTACTCACCAAGTTCCAACCACGCTTCTTCAAGTTGTCATGGGTGAGGATGCGACTGTGACAAAGAAGCCACGCAAAGCCATTGACCTTTGAGGGAGCCTTAGATTGCCACAGCGACCTGGATGGAAGTTGATCACTCTTGGGAACTTCTCGCCGCAGAGGCTACGCTACATCGAGTGCACGAAAAAGCCTGCTCTTCGGTTAGGTAACCAAAACCATCCTACAAGGACCACAAGAAATCCAACCAAGAGGAAGGTTTGAAAAAAAAAATATGAAGCTCACCCCTATCCTTCTCAGCCCCCCCCCCCCCCCCCAGAGAAAAATTAAGTGGAAGATTCCAACTCACCCCCTTGGAAGAAAAAGATATAAACTCGGAGACCCAGCCTTGGGGGAGAGCAGATGCGGCGACAACTCTAGGGAAGGATTCGGCGAGGGTCAAACAATGATTCCAATGGTTTGGTTACCTAACCGAAGAATTTGGCCAAGACAATTAGCCAAAAGTTTGGATATAATTTTGTAGAACACCTGACAAAGCCCAATTGGGCAAAGGTGAGCAAAATTTTGGATATTATGAACCTTAGACAAGAGAGTAAGCCACATATGGTTAAGTGACCATAACATATGGTCAGTGCGAAAGAAAGATAACACAACTTCGCTAACAGAAGCTCCCAAGATGTCCCAAAAATGTTGAAAGGAAAGACCTGTGAACCCATCGGATCCAGGAGTCTTAGTTGGGCCAATCTGAAACATTGTACGTTTGATGCCATGAGAAGAAGATGGTGCGAGTAACACAACATTTATTGCATCATCAACCACAGGATGCAGGTTGAATTTATCAATAGCTTCCTCCACATCATTGGGTGCAATATCAACAAAGAATAACGATGAACAATGAGCCACAACGACCTGACCCTTTAAATGTTCTCCAGAGTAGACTTGATCTGCTGGATCAGAAAATGTGGGGGTGAAATTATGAGCTCGTTGCGTGTGCATAACACGATGAAAATACGTTTGCGATCCCCAAATCATAACAATTGGACATGGGAACGTTGGCGCCAAAAATCCTCTTCTTTCTCCCATGCTTTAGTCAACTCACATTCAAAGCCATGAAAGTTATCCCGATTTGGTAAATGAGCCACCCTTTGAGCACGAAGAGCAGCAATAAGATCATGAATGTGGCGTAGAGATTAGATGACCCGCCCATAACCCATTGAAAAAGGGCATGTTGTACCCTCTTAAGTCGAGTATGTAAGCAATACATCGGTAACCATTGAATAGCCAAATTCCAGTAATAATTAAGTAATAATTAGGCAAGCTTTCGGATTATTGATCCACTAGGCATTGAAGAGGAAGAAACGTTTAGCCTGACGGGAGCACTGATGAGGAGACCAAAGGATCATCTCATGATCGGACCGTATGTCATTCAAATGAGTGACCGTGGAGTCCGGAAAAATATTCAACACAATTGGTGAGAATAGAAAATGATCTAATCAAGTTTCGATGAGTGAATGATTTGAACAGTGATTGGACCTAGTATAAGGATGACCATGAAATTCAATGTCTACTACACCTAAATCATCTATAAAATCCAAAAAAATAGAGGCTGCTTGGGGATCAGAGGTAGTATCACCTTTTTCATCATTGTTTAAGATAACATTAAAATCACCAAATAACCCATATGGGAGGTCTAACAAACGTAGATAATACTTATACCAATATAAATCAATAACAAATAAACATGCAAAGATCAACCACCACTACAACAAATTCGGCCTATTAGGACAAATTTTTTATTTTGTCATTTTCTGTTTGTTACAATAGGTACGGTGATATGAAAAACATAATATATGTCCTATTTAGTATGCCTAATGTGACAAAAAAAATTGTTGTCAGAATAAGTCGTCATTTAAAGTGAGTAACGTGACAAATATTTCGTGTCACAATTAATTTTGTCAAAATATGCATCCCATATCGGGATGTAAGAGACTCAACAGTGACAAATTTGTTGTTGTAAGAATAGTTTGTCATTTAAAGTGAGTAATGTGACAAATATTTCTGTGTCACAATTAAGTTTGTCAAAATAGGCATCCCATACGGGATGTAAGAGACACAAAGTGGCAAATTATATCGTCGGAGTAGCTTTTGTCATATTATGCCTTCCTGAATTGTTTTAATGACAAAGTATTTTGTCACAATAGATAGCAATAATCCCACGACGAGCTTACAAAAGGGCATATTCGTCATAATATAGTGGTTTTGGCTTTGACAAAAAGCATGTTTGTCATAATATAATGGTTTCGTTTTTGACAAAATCGGCTCGATCAACACATTTTCCCCCACCCAAATTTCAATCTCGCCCAACTTTTAACTATCCACTTTTTAATCCCTCCCAATTTTTAGACCCCAATTTTCAACCCGCCTAAAACTTGAAATTCCCTCTCTCCCAACCAATAAATTTACCCTAGGACCCCACTCCTTTTCCTCTTTTTTTTGGGAATGAGGAGGCCTAGTCGCCTTCAAGCTTCTTTCTCGTCATCTATTAATCTCCGGCAGCAAGAATGGCCTCGATACCGGCTGGGAATCCTATTGTCGAGCAATCAGAGCCCGATGTCCGTCAAGGGATGGAGGTTAGCTAACTGTAAGCGCGCCCTAGTTCGTGGTGAACAAAATCACAATCCCGAAGAGAAACTTCAGGCCCGTGGAAGTTGAATTTCGGCCCTCTCTTTCCGGTAGCTTCTAAAGGGGCCGTTGTTCCTCAGATTCGTTCCCGCAACAGAAATTAAACGAAGGCCTACGGTGTAACTCTCTCGATCATGGGTTCAGGTGAGTTTCGTACTCTCTTTTCTGGTGTCGATGGCTAGGGCTTTCAAACGTGGACATGATATTATCGTGTATCGGATTATTTCTTCTTGTGGGATCGACAGTGGTGAAGTTAGCGTAATTGGGGGTTTTCGATGTTGGTGTCTGTGTTCGTGTTCAGATGCAGATATGAAAGATTATGGGTTTGAGTACTCAGACGAGGAGCCTGAGGAACAAGATGTTGATATCGAGAACCAGTACTATAATTCCAAATGTTTTTTATGAATCTTTCTTTCTTTCCATTCCCAAAGAGGGGGGAATTATTTGTGTTAAAGGGTTTTTTTCATAGTAAAAGTTGCATTCTGAGGTCTTGTCTTTATGGAGGGCTCATGGGGGTATTTTGATAGCTTAACTGTTGAATGGAGAGTTGGGTTTACAAACTGAAGTTTGTGTGGAACTTGTTGAGAACCATTGAAGTGGATTTTGTTGATCCTTTAGGTTGGGGATGAGCTTGGGGTAAGGGTGAGCAGAACTGTACAAGAGTCTTTTGGTGATGGAGTCGGTAACCCAATATTATTGTACTCTGCGATTGAATGTTTTGAGCTTTGATTGGTTTTCTTGGTCCAATTGTGAATTGAGATTTTCTCATAGTATGCATCCCAACTTCCTGGTTGTATTGTTTAGTTGTGGAATTAAAGTTCTCTATATAATTATTTCATGTGCCTCTTTTTGGAGAGCCCTCTTCCAAACTCTATCCGCGAATGCCTAGATTGTCAAAGTTATGACAGTTTGGATTCAAGGAGACTGATGATTTTGTTGTGGAGAAGCTGAGAACTAAGTTACTTTTCGGTTAATTTCTCGTAGTGTAGTTTGTAGTATACATCATAATCATTCCCCATCATCTTCTGCTACATTTCAACATTCTAGAATGTAGAATGTAGTTGGGTAGTGTTAACGATCTGTTGTATGATTACATTAATCTGTAGTTCCTTCTTGTGCTCTAAGTGGAAGCGGTTCCTTTTTCTCTTGTGCATTTCGGAAAGGAAACATCTTAATATACATGCCTCTATTTGTAGGCGAATCACCTTCCTATGCTGCTTTAGAGGAACGACTTGTGAAGGGACATGGGGAAGCACTGAAGGTGCTTAGCGCACTAGAAGCAGTAACTGGAAAACTTCTGAAGTTCTTGGTTGACCAGAGTGTCATCCCCATGTTTGAGAAAATAGTAAGTAGTACTATTAGACCTTAGTTGATCTTGGTATAGGAATTACAAAAATAGTAAGTAGTACTATTAGACCTTAGTTGATCTTGGTATAGGAATTACAATACTATTTATTTATGCTAATATGCTCTAGATCTGTTTGTTGCAGACACAAGAGCGCTTTACTGATTCCAAGCCCGATAGAGTTCAGCCCTCACTGCAGTATTCCATTTCTACTTCTCAGACATGGATTATCTGTTCCGACTATTCCCTATCAATAAAAAGGAATCCTTTACTATTTGAACGTGACACTCATATCAAACAACAAAAAAATTCTACAGCCTGGACTCTCTCTCTCTATATGGACAAGACCATGCACTTGGATTGCGTTCAATAGGTCTTGGTCATGCCAATGTCCCTATAGTTACTCAAGTAGGGTCTTAAACTCTTCATGGTAGTTCCTTTATCTTAGTTGGAACGATCTTAACATATTTATGTTCTGTTAATTTGTTCCCTAATAAATCTGGAACATTCAAGTATGAAAAGGTACTAATTTAGGCTTTTTTCTTTCAGGTGACACTAACCATGCAAGTGCCACTCTTGTATCCGGGCGATATCATTGGAGTTAACGAGACGCATATTGCCTACATTCGCCGTGTCAGCGGATCAGTTCTCACAATTCAAGAGAGTAAAGGTTTCTTGATTAGATCATAGTAGAAATCAAGGGCTCCACTTCCCAAGTCGAGAAGGCTCAACAGCTAATTCAGGTTCGTTAACAAAATTTCCCTCGATTAGGCTGATGGCAGACCTGGTACCGATACAATCATTCTTTTGTTGTCAGAGTAGCTAAAACGAAAATTGGCCGTCGTAATTTGTTTTGCAGGAGTTTTTCTGGCATAGGAAAGAACTATTAGAAACTGAAACTGAGAACATGGTTTACATTTTGACATGAATTATCATGTATCACGCCGTGAGATTGTTCAGAAGATCGTGAAGAAAAAGGTGAAGTATGGACCGAAGGAGAACCCAATATCTGCTAAGGAGTTAGAATGTTTTGTGTCATGGTGGACAACTTAGGGTGTTTGGTTATGCTAAACAATGAGTTAGAATGTTAAGGAAACGATTGTAATGTTTTGGATCTTTGGTCCATTATCAGGTTGCAATGCAGGAAACAATTTTGAATTATGCAATTTTTGAAGTACATTGCCTGACAAATTGTTCTCTTGTCATATCGAAACAATGTCATATCGTCACATTATGTACATTGCCTGACAAATTGTTCTCTTGTCATATTAGACATGAGACAAATAAACCACCTTTCCTGACAACCTATACTTGTCATTATAAGCAGTTATGCCAAAATATATTCGTCATAATATTTAGTTATGACAAAAGAATGTCGTCACAATAAACACTTGTGACAAAATGTAGTCTTCACAATATACAGTTATGACAAAATATAATCATGTAAGGTGACGAACAATTCTCCCAAAATCACCAGATTATAACAACCGTAATGACAAAATATGTTGTCATAACTTCTCTGTTTGTCACAATAGACTACTCATAAACTCAATTATATTGAAAGCAAATGTGACAACATTGTTTTAAATTTTTGTCACAATTGACCTATCCTGACGGCGATTAAATGACAAACCTTTGTGACAACACCTCTTGTCATATTATGCATAATATGACAAAATGGGTAGCTAATATGACAAAATTTCCTAGTCATAATAGGCCGAATTTGTTGTAGTGCACATCGAAAACCTATTCTAACACCAACATCACCAATATCAGTACCAGTACTAATACCAACCTATTTCAAAAGCAATACCCACAGGCCACAACAATACCAATTTACCAATACTAATACTGGTATCAGGTATCACTACAATGTCATCCAATATGAATGAATATTGGATGAATATACCACAACTTTCCAAAACATTACCTCTACATTCCAGGCATGTTTCTGTGACCAAACCACTCATAATTACATGCATACAAATACCAGTATGTCTTAAAATTTTAACACCAATACGAAATCATTATCCTTCATCGCCGAATATAAAAAGATGGATAAAGTTTGAAGCTTTGTTGTTGTTGGAGTTTTTAGTTATTTCTGTTTTGGCTGTCCTTGTAGTAGTGGTTTACTATTGAAACTTCAACATTGTCGATGTTCAAAAATCCAAAAATCCTAAATTGTGGTTGTCATGGTACCTACCTATAGAGCTAAAAATTGGTCTAACCCATCCCTGATCTTGTCTGACCCGTCCATGAAGGGTCAACTTATATAACAATATCCCTGATCTTGTCAACACACTGATTTTTAAAAATTTACATTTATACCAAAATTTATATTTTTCTTATAATTTAGTACCTAAACTTTATATATTTTACAAATAGGTTCAAAAATTTTGGTGGTAAAATTACCTTGCATTATAGCACCTAAATTTATAAAAGTACAAATTGTGCAATTTGTTGGTATGAGAAATTTCATTTCACAGAGTCAAAAAGTGAACCGCCCTTAAATTGACCAGACCGTTAAAAGATAACCCAACGCTAAACTGACAATGAGACAAATTGATCCAGCCCTACCCTCAAAATCGAGGCGGGTTGGAGGGTTCTCTAGGATCAAGCATACACCCCTACCTACCTCTATGGGGTTTACACTTGTATTGTATAAACATGTGTATACAAAAGAGTACTCGAATGTATCATTTGGACTGCAGAATGAAAGGGCGAAAGTACTATAATATTTGTGGTTGGTGCTATAGCACATGCTAGCGATGAACCACGGGGAAGGAATTGCAGGCTGGCTATCTTAGATGATGAATGGTGATGACGTGAATTGTATTATGTTGGCAACGCCCCAGATGGACAGACAGGGTGAGAGATTGGAGAGACAAAGCAATAAGAAATGAAATTGTATTCTGTTGCCCTCCATTTGTCAACTCCCAGCTGAGACGTTGAACTGATCTCTTATCCTAATAATTCCATAAACCCCATAATCGATCGTGGGGTATTAGACTCCACTCGGTTATGACTAAGTTGTGATCGTGTGTGTGGGATGAAGTCAATGGTTTGTTTACGCATGCATGGATGTGATGGTGAACAAGGTTGTCAGTTCGGTTTGTCCCGTTGGTCCGGTCAAGTAAGTGGGGAAAAAATAATTGTCCGATCGTTTTAGTCTGATTTAGTCCAAATATATGAAAAAATTTATTATATTGTTCATACATATGTAAATTATGTCAAATCTCATCTAGCGTATGAGTAATAACATATAACATTCCATTAAAATAATAGTGCATACTTGAAACCAACATATAAGTTCGTGATTGGTACTATGAATGAACCGGAACAAGTCTAATTAATATTAGATATAACTCGTTATAAATAATTAAGAAGAGTTGGAACCCATCAGTTTTACTTTTACTCTAAAGGGCGGAAGCTGATTTTGTCATGAGGCCTCAATACTCTAGGAATTGAATCTTTCTTCACATGTATATTCTCCCTGCCGGAGCCGGACTTCCCTAATCCCTCCATTTTTCTAATCGCGCCTTTTTCGTTCTTGCTACAAAATCTGAGTTGACAAAGCCGGCTTCCCATTATTATTCCCTTCCCTCCAAAATTCCCCTTGTACGGTCGTCCCCTCCTCCTTCCTTCCCTTACCAACACGCACACACATATATAAATACTCGCATACATACAAACACATAGAAACACAACAACACATAATCCAACACGCAATATCCAGAGGCCTCTCCTCCCTCCTCCCTATACAATGGCCGCATCCAAGGTTACTACTAGGAAGAAGCAGCAGCAGCAGCAGCAGCTGAAGACGAAGAACAACAACAACAATCTGATCAAGTTGCTGATTGTTGTGGGCTTGCTTTGTGCTCTTGTTGGGCCGACTCATGCGGCTAGGCCCGTGCCGGCGGACCATTATCACCGGCGGGAGGAGGTTGTTGCTGCCGTGGTGGTGCCAGCAAAGGCTTCGAGGGAGGAAATAATGGTGAGGGCACTTATCACCATGCTGCCCAAAGGAGCTCCATTGCCACCTTCCGGCCCCAGCCCTGGCATCAACTAATCCTCCACGTCACCCTCCAATTTACCACCTTATTATAATAATTATATATAATAGAAGTTGTAGCTGCATAATATATATTTGGTTGCTTATGACTAGGTTATACAAGTTAATTACAGAAGCATATTGAGACAGCAAGTAAGTAGAGCCTTATTCTGGGCTACATAATAAGTATTTATCCTTAATTAACTAGAGTTATTTGTTATTCTTTTCTTCCCATGCCATGCAACGCAAAGATTATATACCATGAATTATAATTACATTCATTTTATTATAAAAGTAGTGAAAAACAGAACAAACCAAAATTTAAAAAAATTAGTGGGCAGCCGAGATACAATCTAGACTCCTCCCACTCCTTTAGCTATAACAAAGATAAGTTGAGTAAAAATGTACGCATCCGCCTGATCCCGCATATCCTGTCACACGGAGAATTTCTGAATCCGCTTGAGTATCGCCACGACATCCGTATCCAACTCTCCCATCGAACAAAAGGAAAAAGGGCAGGAAACCGTAACCAGCTGCCATGCACAAGTCCTGATACTTGACACACTTTCGCTGAGCAGTATCAGCAACAACACGACCTGGCACAAAACCTGTCATGCCAGTACCAATCAAAGGCGAAGATCCAGTCAGATTGACACACACATCTCGCCCCTTGTTCAAGGAATAAAGCAACAAATCTATAGGGTGAAGGGGTCCACCATGCCCATCAACTAAACCGATATCTACCTCCCTACTGTCAGAAATCCCAGATCAAATGTTAGTAATTATTGTTTACGCTATGTAAAACATAAATGTTACATTTTCTTGAAAGAGAGAGCTACTCACTTGTTTCGATCAATTTAAATTACAGTATACATAAACAATTTCAAATCAATTAAGATTGAATCAAATGAAGCTATAAATTAGATTGTGAAAATGGAATGACTTAACTCATTGTCCTAACTATAGTTAGGCAATGTATTGAAGGGACTAGTTAACCAGTTTAGTTAGTTTGCGATCAAGCTGCCAGAAACTGTTGAATTCTCCTACTCATATGCATGCCTGGATCATATATTAAGACAAAAAAAAACCTAATGTATGGTGAAATTAATTTGTTCCCCCCCCCCCCCCCCCCCTCTAGTGTGGGAGCTGGGTTAATTTGTTTGTTATAAATCTAACCTTTGCCCTTTAGTAGTGGCAAGAATTGGCAGGAAAATTATGCCATTTGTGTCTATTCTGATGGCCAGCTAGCTAGCAAGCTATTTTACAGAAATTAATTGATATTGGGCCATAATTAAGGACCTCAAGATATAAACACGCGTTAGTTTGGTAATGGTACATATGGATCATGGATGCATTGCTGCATGACATGATCGACTGCATACCATACGCTAATCGAGTTGACTTTTCATATTGTAAACAACCATTTGACAAAAGGGAGGAAATCATGTAGTTAGTTAGTTAGTTAATTAATTAATTAATTAATCTATTATTAAAAGAATGTAGATGGAGCAGAGTAACCGTAGCTCCGGCAGCAGAATGGCTGACTCTAGCAAAACAAAAATACATCTTCGGAATTCTTGGGTCCGCCGTTGCATGGGCGTTGCAAGGATTTGACTATCGGGATTAGAGCAAAGTTGTA